GTAGTATAATACTGAACTACTGTATATTGCCTTGAAAATACACATAATACCGCCTCTTTAGTCAAGTATCTGTTACTTAGGTGGACACCACGTTTGTCTATGTTTAATCATCAGCTTTTAAGTTAACGGTTATCAGTTAACGTTAGCTAGTGTTTTAGCATTTGCCAAGCTAACTTCTTTAGTTAGCAGACTGACAGCAAAGCTAATGTTGGTTAGCTGTGCTTGTCCCTGACTACAATTATAACATGAGAGAGAAAGAAATGTTCAAATGGGTCATGGAATTAAGAAGGTATGTTCCTGAAAAACAGAATTTGTATGTGCCCCCATGAAAGACTTTGCCATCCCCATTGCTTTCAAGTCTTACTAAACCATGATGATTTGTGTTTTTTAACCACATTTTCTCTCTAAACACAGTGGTTCACCTCATTCCTTCTAATAATGTCTTAAACATACTTTAGCAGTTTTCGTAGTCGTGCAATTTTCTGTTTAATGACCAATAATTTGATACTTTTAAAGCATAAAACATTTTCTTTTGAAACCACAAGCTGAAAGTTGAAACTGCTTAAGAAAAAAAAAGCTTTTTAGTGAATGAGAAGGCATTGACTCACAGTTTAGCTGTTCTCCATTTTTATAAGTAGAGCTCAAATACTAGAAATTCCACACACTGTTTCTGACTCAAATTTAATATATACTTTGGGGGAAGACTGACATTGCCACTGAAGCAGTAAAATATGTCGGGGCATGTCACAGCCTGAGGGGAAAACCAGTGAAACACATGAAAATGTACCAAGGCTCTTCAAAATCCACCTCGTGGTTTAAAATGTTTGTTCATACTGTTCGTTATATCTTTGAAATAATTACATTTTATGTATGAGAAGCTAATGCAGAAATGTTTTATTTTATTTCTTGTGCAATAAATCAAGTGTTTTTTCTTGTGCTTTATGTCAGTGAGCAGTGAACTGAATCTAAATTTAGGTAGAATAGTGCAAACATGGATTACTTGAGACAGCGAAAGATAGCAGGATAATGAAATAAAACGAGAGAAAAAATATCCTGAAAAGAAGAGTGATCACCTGACAGCTCCAAAAAAAAAAAAGGAAAAAAAAGAAAAAGAGGAGGAATGGAATAGCTAGAGAGGAGGAGGGGAGGCAGCGGGGAGACAGCCTGACAGTTCCTGAAAGATAGAGCTCGGAGTACGAGGGAGGAACTGAATGAGGCGGGGAGTAAATGGAGGGAAGAGAGCGCTCAAGTGAAAATGTGCAGGAGAATACAGAGATGGAGGCAGAGCCACGTCTCCCTCTCATCAGTCAGAGCGCTGCCCGTCCTGTGGCGGAGGATGCCTCTGTGACCGTGACGAATCCCTGCAGTCTGCATTCGACTCACCTCCAACAACATTACCAATGCACACGGAAACGCACACAGTGCAGAGAGAGCAGCACAAATTTAGGACAGACACACATATCATTTATTGTGCTGCTGTCAAACACATGCAGGGACACACAGGTGCACAAACACATGCATATTCTGGGAATGACAATATTGTCATGACTTTGTTGGATTCCCTCCTGTATCCATCTGTGTGACGTGTTTTGTGTAGAGCATACATTTCTGATTATTTTTACCAGTGACTTTTGAAAAACTCACCTGATTGTGTTTTTTTAAATCAAATGTATTGTATCAACCTTCCCAGATACAGTGAACCCTGGCTCGATTTTGTAGAAGTTTGAACTATTTGATGAACAGCAGAAGAAGGAATAGTTTTGTATTTTAAAGTAAATGTTTGCTGTTTGATGCTAAATATTGAACAAACCCGAACCATCTTGAATTAATTTAAAATGTATGTTTTACTTTAGATAAATCACTGTTAAATATAGGGCTGCACAATATTACAAAAAAAAAAAAACTGACAGTGCGCGTTTTTGTAACCCTGCAATATTAGGGGTGCAACAGTACATGTACCCGTATTGAACTGTATCGAACAGTGCTTTAGGTTCAATACACACTTGTATCGAACAATACAGATTTATAAAATTTACTTTATCAACTTGTCTTCTGAAGATGCTCTGTGTTGAAGGATCAGTGGATCTGTGTTCGACTACTCCACCTAGGCTGCATTTTTGAGCACAGATACACTGAGAAACTTGCTGTTTCAGCAACATTTAATTTAAAAACTGTACTTTTGTGGTTAAACAAATGTTCATAATTAATAAAAATAAATTACAAGTTAAAAAGGTGCATGGAAATTTATGTTTTTGTATCGAAAAAATATCGAACCGTGAGACTAAAGTATCGAACCAAACCGAACCGTGTTTTTTCTGTATCGTTGCACCCCTATGTGATATATATTGCAAACTTTCAACAATCGACTTAAATAACATTTTACGTTATGCTGCCATCCTGTTGAAGGTGCACCTGTGGTCTTACCTCTTTTTTTCTGCATGTTACAAGTATGTTTTTTGTCTGTATTTGAACATTACGCTCGTTATCTTTTATTGGGTGAATGCCTTTAGGCATTCAACCTATTGCTTTTGTTTTTCTCTACATTGTACGTTTTTCGGCATCTATCTCCTCCCACAGTTTTTGTCCGATTCGTACAATTCATATATCAAAACGTCCGGCTCATTAATGCCACGCCTGCTATATCTCCGGGGATTTCAGCTACTTATACTTTTTTAGCTATTTCACTTTTTTAGCTGATTTTCTCCCCATTGACTTTCAATGGGGCTGTGTTTCAACTGCTTTAAACATCTGAAATTCTTCATAATTCTTCACAGCTTTTCCCATATTTTGCTTTGGTTATGCTTCCTCTAAATTTCTCATGCTATTTTTAGCTACTTTTTCGATAACTTTAGCTGTTTTCTGCTATTTCAGATAGAGATCTGTTACTTTCTGCTATTTTCCTGCTTTTTTATGCTATTTCTCTGCTTTTTCCTGCTAATTTGGACATTTTATGCTTCTTACACTCGCTTTCTGCTATATTAAGCTATTTTCAACAAATTTAGCTACATTTTAGC